TGGCGGTAGATGGAACAGCCTGCAATAACAACAACAGGGGGGTGAATCCGCTAAATCGAACAGCTCACGAGCAGTAAATTAGTGTTGAATAAACAATCGTTGGTTTAACCTAACGAAGTAGCGTTCAACGAAAAGTTATAATTGAATCGATGAGTTTACTACACGCGAAAATTGGTATTGAAGAAACTCTCGTTAGTTTTAATTAACACTAAATCTGTGCTTCTGTGATAATCACACGATTTATCGTTACATTCCCATCGTTTTTCATTTTTGGAATCGATCGCAGTTTGCGATCGCAATCGGCCACCCGATGGCGCCACATACCTCTCCAGCGGAACCTCCTCCGAGTTGCCAAAGTCGACGTAACGCACAGAGATCAGCTCGGTTCCAGCGACCACCACAGGGGGCGCCTCCGGCTTGGGCGCTAGCACGACGGCTCTGTACACCGTGCCGTCGGTCGCGTAGACTCCGGCGATAGCGGAGCCTGAAACAACACGCACACGCGCGTTAACGCCAGGTGGCGCCACCGCACACGCAGGAGAGCGTTCTGTCCACTGGGGGGCGCCAGCGTCAAAGAAGAGACCGAGACGCCAAACGAGAGTTTTTCGCCGCCGGGGCGCCACCGTACGAACACGCTGTGAATCTGATCGCCAGGGGGAGCCGCCGCACTCACCTGGGACGAGCTGCGCTGAGGATTCGATGGACGTCAGACCGCCGCGAGTATAGAGGGCGCTGAGGTGCTGACCAATCTCCTGCCAGCTGAGCTCAGACGCGCGCCGTCGAACGGGCTGTACGTAAACCTGTGTGTGTGAGAGAGATAGAGCGTGAGAGAGGGAGAGGGAGAGAGTGAGCGTGAGAGAGAGAGAGAGAGAGAGAGAGAGAGAGAGAGAGAGAGAGAGAGAGAGAGAGAGAGAGAGAGAGAGAGAGAGAGAGAGAGAGAGAGAGAGAGAGAGAGAGAGAGAGAGAGAGAGAGAGAGAGAGAGAGAGAGAGAGAGAGAGAGAGAGAGAGAGAGAGAGAGAGAGAGAGTAGAGAGAGAGAGAGAGAGAGAAGAGAGAGGAGAGAGAGAGAGAGAGACGAGAGAGACGAGAGTAGAGAGTAGAGAGAGAGAGTAGAGAGAGAGACGAGAGAGAGAGAGAGAGAGAGAGAGACCGGGTGAGAGACCGCGAGCCCGCCACTCCGTCCGAACATCGCTTATATTCTAATACGTATAGAGGTTATATGAAGGTCGTCACCTATGGCTACTGCGCAGTCGCCATTTGGTATAGAATCGTCTGCACTTCTTCGCGAAATACGGGGGGAAAGTGGAGCTCTGGCGGCATTGTCGTCGCAAAGATGTCGTCTAATGGATAAAGCATAATACAAGTTAAAACAAATGCAAAATAAACTTCAATGTAAGTACGTCAGCATTTAAAAAATATAATATTGCGCGTTTGTAATATGTAATGGTAAATAAATAAAATGTAAATATTAAAAAATATAATAAGTATATTATATAATAATATATAGATATATAATAAATGATAAATTATAATTAATTATAAAATAATAAAATATTAAAATAATAAAATAAATGTAAATATGTTTGCCGCAATTACGATAAGCGTTCGTTTCCTAATAGAGTAATGTCGGTGCGAAGTTTAATATGTTTTATTATATAGTTATAATTATTATTATAATATTATTATTTATATATATAATATATATAATATATATATTATTATTATATTATAATATCAGTATATATTATTATAATTATATTAGATATATTTAGTATATATCAGTATATAAGATCAGTATAGTATCAGTATTATACAATTCAGTATATATATATATATATATATATATATATATATTATATAATTCCTATTATTTTACTTCTGATATATTATGTAAAACCCTTGAAAATCAGTTCATTCGGTGTGTTGATGATAGAGATAACCTTGATTGATTTCCTACTAACGCGTGAAGTTTTGACGGCCTGCACAGGTTGAGTAAGAAATCAACGCAAGTTTATGCTGCTCTCTATCTGTGACCTAATATTATATGTGCAGCATTGTTATAGTTGAGTATTTGATAGAACTTGACAGCAACAGCAAAAATTAAGGCAAAATTTATATCTTAAATAATACTATATATCTTAAATTATTGACTTATTCTAAAATAATACTAATATTTACAAATCGGCTCATCATTTCTAAAAATCGTAAGAGCAAAACATTGACATAAGTAAAATCGAAGTTTGAAGTTAACTGCACGAATTTTAAAGGCGAGAATCTCCAAACGAAAAAACCATGTCGGCGAAGAAATCGCCGACCGGCCGACAAGAAACTGAATGAACAGACTGAGAGAGGTCAAAGTCACCTGAAGCTTCTGAAACGCGTCGTAGTTGCGGCCCGGGCGCGCGTACCTGCGCACCTTACTCGACGCTTGCTAGATGGGAGCTGCTCGCTGGAGATTTCGCGGCGCCGCACGGTCACGCCCGCATCCGCCATTCTCTCATCGGTGAGGCAACCGGGGTGCTGACGCACAGCCGCGTTTCTCTGCTCATGCCGAGCCGTCGTTCGCATTCCCGCCACGCCGGATGGCGCCACCGTCGTCGTTTTTCTGTGCGGCGCCTTAGAGGATCGGATTTAGGCGGCGACCAGTTTCGCAGCAATTCTCGAGGTGTAATGAATGTTCCCTTGTTTGCTGATCACAGAAGCCTTCGCTTGCAGGAAGGCGACCGGAAATCCGATCGCGTGGAGCGATCACTTCCGGCCGCATCTTGTATCTGGGATCGTTCCCACAGACGGTCCGAGATGGCTGACTTGACACGTTTCTTTCAAGTGTTTTCTTCCCCCCCCCCCCCCCCCCTTCTCTTCTTTCTTCTTTGCTTTCTTGACTGATTTCCAAGCTAGCGTCAAACGAGGCAACGCCACCACTAGGCAGCAAGGGGGAAGAAAAATTAGGAAGGGGGCAGAAAGAAGCTAAGAACAAACCAGAGTACGAAGGTGTCGAAAATGCATGAGAACGAGGAAGATTAAAAAAGCTAGCAGCGTAAAAACAGAGTCAGACGAACAACGGTACTACATAAAACCTCTACGTCACACGAGCGAACTCAAAACTGTAGATTCTTGTAAAGAGCGCCGCGGGCAAGGCAAAAAGAAACCGGGCCAGTCCATATATACCTATGGACTGTCACGGGACACGTCGTTTGTATCACTGCTAGCACAACTGCGCGCCGCTTGATAGAAAACCAACGTAACTACCGTGTGGTGCGTTGCCGTGTAACGCGTACCGTGACGTAAGCAGTTTTAAGACCCTCACGTGAAAAAACAATAGAACTGCACGCGCGCATTTTGGGCAGCCCCTGCAGAAAAGCGCACAAAAAACGTGATGACAAAAGCATAGGGCCTTGATTTTAATTCCGCGATCATTTCGGCCTTATTCGGGTGGAGTAAGATACTAGGTTATACTTTATGTTTTTAGCGATGCGTAGATATTCTATCGTTGTTGCAGATCCCATATATACTTATTGCGGGTATATATGTTAAACACGCAGCGCGCACGGGTAGGCACACACACACAGCACTCCACACAG